GAAGAACTTATTTGTTTACAAGTTGACTTTAGTGAAAACTTTCGATTAGGAAATCAAGATGCTGTACAAAATTCGTTTTATTCACAAGATGCTGTTTCATTATTTACATCACACATTTGGTATTCAGATGGTGGTCAATCATGTGTTTGTGGTTCAAATAATTTGACACATGATAAATATTGCATTAGTGCATCACTTGATAATTTATTTAGTCAATTGAAACAACAATTTCAACATTTAAAAGAAACTAATGTTTTTTCTGATGGAGCCACCCAACATTTTAAATAGAAATTTTTAATTCGAAATTTATACCATCTATCAGAATAATATCAGGTATGTATTTTAATTATATTCTTTATCAATATTTAGTAATAATCTACTTGGAACTTGTTTAGGTAGAGTAAAATTAGCATTACTTTGCCACCTTTCACGGCAAGGGAGTGGTGGATGCCGTGGGATGAACAGTAAAACAGTTAGTCTATCGATCAATTTTATCTGGGCAACAGTGCACATCAACAACCGAGTTCATAAAAATCGCTCAATCAAAAACAACTACAATTGAGATTGCTGAATTAAAAATACGTATGGAACCAATATTTCAATTAATTAAACCTGTACTGGAAACAAAAAAGATTCATTCTGTTAAAGCATTTAAAAATAATTCAATTGAATATCGATATTATTCAAGTAGCGCAACGAAAAAAATCTATCGATTTCCCAATTAAAAGAAAGAATTATGTAGAGTATTTGTCTTTCATTTGATTAAATTATGGTTTCATTTCATCTAAACAGTATTTTACAAACATTTATATTAAAAACGGATATTTTTGTATAAGTAAAGCAATTAGTTTGTGTTTTACATTTCTATCTTGTGTTAATTATTATTTATGCAGTATCTTATTTAGATGATAAAAAACTTGCTTTTTTTTATTATATATATATATTACTTGTTATATGACGTAATCTCATGGTTTTTTTTATGATTTCTGTATTGAACTTAAGAATAAGCATCATTTTTAATGCATCTTTGTGATAAATACTGAAAAAGTTATTATGTTATCTTCATTCAGTTATACACATAGCAAAGGAAAATACAGAAAAAACTTCATTACGAAACTGAGCGTCATCGCGTTACATTAATCAAACCGATTTCTATTCAAAATAAGAAGCCTGTTCGAAGAACTTATTTCTCCATTGGATACCTCAAACTGTTGGCTACAAAACGTCCATAGAACGTTTCTTTGAATATAGCATACATTCACAGAGAAATAAAGAACGATCAGATGATCCTCAACTTCTTGTCCTTTTTTCGTCATCGCGTTACGCCATATATTTTTACTATAATTTTCAAACACCTCGCTCAAATGAGCTCATATTTTCAGAGATTTTGCAAAGGACAGAGATACATCTTACAACGAAAGAACAAACCTTCTGACCAATATGATTGCTGAGAAAAGTCACTAGAAGTGTAACCAAAACGTCATCGCGTTACGCTCCTACAAGTTGATATATAGCTGCTCAGTATCTGTGTCGGAGTCAAAGTTCAAAGGTCAAAGGAACGTCGGGTAGGGATGGGTGGTTGGCCTTTGCGTTTAGACTTTGGCACAGATACACAGACACTCACCGTGCAATACCTTCTTTGACCTTTGATCCAGGCACAGATGCTGAACATTTCTATATATATACTCTTAAACGCATTGTTGGCCCAAATGATTATGATATCAGTGAATAACTCAACAAGCTCTACAAATTCGCAACACTAAACTTTAAAAGCAATTTATCAGTTCGTTGCCTTTACTCGTTAGTGTGTCAAGCTCCGTCTAAGAAGCGTTAGTTAATGCAAGAATGTACGATTGAGTAGAGAAAACAGGTATGGGCGCAATAGTAGTGGTTGCAGCAGCTCTGCTGGTAACAGATCATGATGCATCTTTCTAAACGAACGAACCAAGAAGAACTGACATGCCTTTCTTTTCAAAATACTTTTTTTTCGAGACGCGCGATACTCATGTAGTAAGATCTTCTGGTCCCAATCGAACGTGCAAAACGTTTCGTCTGCTCCCATCTGCGATATAATCCTTGCCTATCCGCTGTCTTGCTGACGAGGGAACATCCCCAACTGTCGGACACCGTTTGACTCCATATTTTGGATGTGAGTAGGATTCAGTGAGACTGAGAAAATCCTGAAAGGATTCGGATCCATGACGTATTAGACAAGAGTTATGACCGTTTTACTAGCTAATCATGCTTGAAGTATCCTGAAAATTTCAGCTCGAACGGACGTTCCTTTGCCGAAATATGGACTTTGAAAAACCACTCGTTTTTCAGAGAAAGTTTCAACTCGTTCACGTGACGAGTTGAACAAACAGCAAAAATCAGACCTTTCGTAACACCAAAAATAGGGATATCCAAAAATACAGAGATTTCGTAACGAAATTTACAGGGCGATCGTAACGATTAATACAGGGAGTTCGTAACAGTTGCAGAGCTTTCGCAACGAAGCAACAGGGATTTCATAACGAGAATGAGGATGATAGCTGGACTTAGTTTGCAAAAATTACATGCTTTTCGTTACGAAAGCTCTGTAATGGTACATATCAAAACACCCGTTACGATCACCCTGTAAAATTTGTTACGAAACCCCTGATTTTTTGTTACGAAAGCCCTGATTCTGTCGTTACGAAAGCTCTGTTACGGGCTTTCGTACTGTCTATTCGTTACGAAAGCCAGAAAATAAAAATCGTGACGAGTTGAAATTTTCCCGTTTTTCACAGACTTATCCCCTAAACCGGGTTTACATGGAAATCAAATAATTTGGCAGAGGAATGTCCGTTCGAGCTGAAATTTTCAGAATACTTCAAGCATGATTAGTCCTACCTTTGAGCAAAATTTCAGATCGAAATCATTTAATTTGACGTCCTGGTGAATACATACGAATAAGCAAAAGTTCAGAAAAACGGTTATAACTCTTGTCTAATACGCCATGGACTCGAATCCTTTCAGGGTTTTCTCAGTCTTATTGAGGCCTACTCATAGCCAAAAATATGAAGCCAAATAGTGTCCGACAGTTGGGGGGTGTTTCCTCGTGAGCAGCAAGTAAATAATGACGAGAACATTCAACAATATGCTCAGACCCATTTCACAGTCATATTTTATTTCGGCTCGAATATCCTTGTCGGCAATTTTTCTAGTTTCTGTTTGATTTCATCAGGTGTTTGGATAATATTTATGCAATCGAGGTAGCTGATCCTATGTACTTGGCTACACTTCGACTAATGTTCGACACAGTTTGGTTCACTAAGAGCAAACATAGTGCAGTGGGTAGTACTGTCAAGAACTGACATCTATATCTTGTATTTATTGTTCTTCTCTTTTTGATGTTATTATCTATTGCCTATTTTGAAAAAAAGTGGGGTGAGTATTTTTTGAATAATTTTTGATAGAAACAAGATGAAGACCTACGCTTTTCACCGTTAGAAAGAGGCTTAGTTAGCGCATCGATTCATATAAACTTGTTGGGATTCAGTTCACGAATAAGTAACGACTCATGGTCATCTTAAGAGAACAAGCTGTTGTTTGGTGAAAATTAAATGAATCTTAAACTTTAAGAAGTGAATTAGAATTGCCAACTGACGAGCTACAAATCTGCAAAAGGCCGAAATTTTTGTATCAATTCGTTCAAAAGTTATCAGCCAAGTACTAACGACATCTGACCGATTTTGTGGAACTCACATATATTTTCGAAGAAAATAGTGAGTGTAAGTTTTAAATCGAGATTTTCCAGGTCCCCCCCCCCCCCCCCACCCCCAGGTCTCCATCATTACAGACCTTGCCAACCGGGGTTAAAGGTCAAAGGTCATTGAGTACATTTCCCTAGCAACAGAGGATAATAGGAACTGGCATCTTTCCTATGGTTCCTTAGCAACCATATGGCGGAAAACCGTACATTATTGAACATGATTCCATGGCACCGAGCTTCCCAATTACAGACCGTTACAAACACATTAATTAATTAGCTAATTAACACATTGGGCACGATTTGGCCCACCGGTGGGCCACGCTATGGTTTTACGAGTAACTGTATAGAAGAACACTTTCTTTTGATTTTTTCTTAGGCACGAGGTTATAAACATGAAGTGTCAGTTGTTCTGTGTTCAGTGCTTTATTTGCGTCCTTTATTCCATAGGATAATGCTTGTCATTAAAACACTCTAGACAAAAAAACTTATCACAGTCAGAACAAAAAGTTTTCACTTTCTTTGCTGCCGCCTAGCTTGCTTCTCTTGACTGTTGTGCCTTTCCCTTCGCATAGCAGCTAGTACATCGTCTGTCAACATTGCGCGTAGATCCTTCCTTTTCTTCGAGCTTGTGATCAGCGAGTTTGCGCTTGGAATGGCTTGCTGATTGTTGTATCGGACCAGGTTTTAGCTTCTCGATTGGCGCACCAAGGAGTAAAGATCGTACAAGACTTTCTCGAAACTGTAAAATCTGTATGTTGCTCGCCGCATAATTTTCCTTGTAAATCAGATAACTATTAACCACTGCAGTTCCAAATACCAATTCAAATGCCACCTTTTTATACCATTTTATTGACCGTCTCAGGCATGTGTGGTATGTTGATAGTTGATCTGATAAATCAGTACCTTGTCTGCCTTCATTGTAATCGAGAACAACTTGCGGCTTCATGATGCGTTCATTCAGTTTATTGATTTTTCCGGTGTTCACCACAGTTGCTGAATGAAATGGTTTAGTAGATATCATCAGAACGTCTCTTTTATCTTTCCACTTGATCAATTTTACACCGATTTTGTTCTGGAGCCCATAAACCTCACCAGGCTTGAGCTTTTTCTGAACAACTTCATATCCTGATCCAGTACGATTACTTCTCAATGTTCCAATAAGATACGTATCCTGTTCCAACAAACGTTTTGCTAGAGAAATACTAGTAAAGAAGTTGTCAGCCACCACGGTTCGATAACATCCCGAAAGACCATTCAATAGATTCATTACGACTGCTTCAGCATGTCCACGACCTGCCATAGGATCTTGCTGACCAGTATAGATCACATAATTCCAGGTGTATCCATTGGTAGCCGCTAGCTTGTATATCTTTACGCCGTACTTGTGTGCTTTTCCAGGGATGTATTATTTGAACAAAAGTCTGCCTCGCCATGGTACCATACTTTCGTCGATGCTAATAACTGAGCCAGGCATATATACTGATGAAAACCTCTCTTTGAGTAAATCTGAGAGTGGTTTCAACTTGAACAGCCTGTCGTGGTCCGAATTCTT